AAAAAAAAAAAAAAAAAACTATATTATAAAATTATTTGATTGCATTTAGGTCTCTTCTGCTCTGAAGATTCAGGTTGATGCCAGTAGATATCATAGTATTTAATAGTACGTACCAAACCTAACCTAACCACCCTTTTCTTCTTCTTGACTTTTTCCTTACCACAGTTCACACTTCACACTACGAGAAAATCAAAGCAATTCGTGACTTTTGAAAAAAAAATGCACACCATTTTTAGAAAGAGAGGCGAAAATATCACTGCTAAAAAAACTTTGGATTCTTGGTCAAGCCTCAACCTGTAAAAAAGGTATTTAATGGTGGAGACGAAAATTGGGCTGTGATGGGTTTTATGCGTCGTGGGCTCCGCCGCTCCGGTCATGCCTTTCACGGCGCAAAAGGGTATTTTTTTTTTTTCAATTATTTCTTGTTTTTTTTTTTTTTAATTTTTTATATTTTTTTGAGCGTGTGTTTCGTGATTATTTTAACTTTGCTTTGTTGTTTTTTCACCATCGACATGATTGGGCTCTTTCTTTGCTGCTTGGCTTTTTTATCTGTCAAAAAAGTCGCATTTTTTTGACTTTTCCCTTAACTTTTTGATGATCTTTTCCCGAGTTAAACCCACTTGATGATTGATAATTTCTCTCCAGTGTATTTACTTCGTTGATGTCACTGTTTTTTATTTTTTATTTTTTTCTATAATTTTTTTTGGTGTGATATTGTTGGTGAATTGAAGTGGGGTTTGAGCTTCTGAGGAATTTAATCTTGAAGAAGGCATTTTTGAAGGAGTTGTTTGAATTTTGAGTTATGGAGTTGCTCGAGTTATGAGAGATGACTGATGATGGATTCTTGTGAAATAGTATTCTTTATGTTTCCTTTTTTCTTAAAGGCGATGTTGTTTCCATTCTGCTGTGTCTGAAATGAAAAAAGAAAAAAAGACTGAATTACTCGTAAAGCTTATGTTCGATCGCTTTCCGAGTTTAAGTTTTACACGGTTTTTCCATGTCTTTGGCTAATAATTTGTGCACGAATCGATGTTTTAGTAATTTTCTGTTAATGTTGGAGTGTTTAGGAATGCGACGATTGTGATGAGAAGGCATGAGCATTAAATACTGGCTGCAGAGGAAAAAATCGAGCTTGGCTTCGAAACTGAGCAAGATGATGAAATGCATTTGCTCAGGTGAGCAAATGAGAGTGGATGAAATAATCCCTTCGTCAGAATCTCTGGCAACTCGGGACTATTCGGCCAGTGGATACTCTTCTCGAGCAGAAGGCACTGGTGATACTAAAGCCGACACGAGCAACATAGAAGAGGCCGAGTCCTCACTTAGAGAGAGTGGCTATTTGAATTATGAGGTCTTTTTCTGACCCTTTTCTTTATGGGTATCGAAGCTTTAAACTTGGCAGGCTACACTCAATCAAGTGTTTGAGTGTATGTGTTTTGTTGGATACAATGCTAGAATATTTGTTTGATATTCCTTTCTGTTGCTTAGAGACTTCACTATTGAAATAAGAATGGCTTTTTAATGGTTTCAACTATTTCGTAGGATTCAATACTAGGTCTCGACATGTTTCCGTTGTTTCTTAGAAGTTTTCTTTTCAGAGTGACTGCAATATCTGTTTCTTAGGAAGCAAAAAAAGATAATGATTCTTGGCTTCTATGAATATAAATGGGAACATTTCCTTTTTTTTCTTTTGCCCTTTAATTTAATCTTTGGATGCACCTCGAGAAAGAAAATTCGTAGCATATAGTTGTGCTTGACTGAAGAATATATTTATTTCTAACTAACACAGGAAGCGAGAGCTTTACTGGGACGACTTGAATATCAGAAGGGTAATGTGGAGGCTGCCCTTCGTGTTTTTGAAGGAATAGACATTTCAGCAGTGATTCCCAGAATAAAGATCACTCTAGTCAGAAGGTCTGAGCTTACGAGACGTCATTCTCAAAGTGATGGTTTCGCTCCAATGTCCATGCATGCAGTAAGTTTGCTGGTCGAAGCCATATTTCTCAAAGCAAAATCACTACAGACCCTTGGGAGGTATTCAGGTATTTACCAAAGAGTTTTTCATTTGTATTCCAAGTATTGCTCATTTTTCTAGTTCATAAACACATTCTTGGAACATATCTGTCGTACTCGATCAAACTTCTGATGCTACTTATGATTACTAGTCAGGGTTATGCACTATATCTGTGTCCTGCAGTGTTGTTTGCCCTTAGTGGGTGATCGCAAATATTGAAAGAAAAATGCTTTTGGAAAACATAGTTATCTAATGATGTTTTGAAATATGAACTCCAGTTAGCTATTTGATTCTACCTTAGGCTTGACATGTGGAGCATTCTACTTATGCACAGAACACTCTATTATCAACTATCGACTTTTGTATCTTTTTAGTTGCAAAATCTACAAATTTCTGATTTCTTCCTAAAGTAGAAGTTTGTACAAACACTTTAATCACTATTTATAGCATACTTGCTATAGCTAATGACTGCACGCCCCTTAAATTCTGCAGAAGCTGCTCAATCCTGCAAAGTGATACTCGACACGTTTGAATCCGCTCTCCCAGATGGGTTGCCGCAAAATTTAGCTTCCGACTGTAAATTGCTCGAGACCTTAAACAAAGCAGTCGGGCTACTCCCTGAGCTATGGAAAAGCGCTTATGCACCTCAAGAAGCAATTCTGTCTTACCGTAGGGCCCTGCTCTATCACTGGAATCTGGACATTGAAACCCGAACAAAAATCGAAATGGATTTCGCCATTTTCCTTCTTTACAGTGGTAATGATGCAAATCCTCCCAACCTACGTTCACAATTAGAAAGCTCGTTTGTACCCAGAAACAACATGGAGGAAGCTATTCTTTTGCTATTTCTCATCATCCAAAAGGTTGTCCTCAGTAAAATCGAGTGGGACCCATCGATCTTGGACCATCTCTGTTTCGCACTGTCAATGTCGGGCGAGTGCGAATCTCTTGCGCGCCAAATCGAAGATATGCCTCCGGATGCCGTTGCAAGTAAAGAGAAGTACACGTCTTTAGCTTTGTGTTACTATGCAGAGGGGGATAGTGTGAGTGCTCTGAATTTACTGCGTAATTTTCTGAACAATCGAGAAAATCGTAATTCTGGGCTCGAATTATTACTCACCTCAAAGATTTGTATCGAGGGTTCTTGTTTTCTTGAAGAAGGCATAGGATATATTGACAGATTTCTTCAAGAACCCGGAAGATGTTGTGAAAAAAGGAGTTCTGCGTGTTATTTACTAGGTCTGAACCTTTCAGCTCAATCGAGAGGTGTTTGTTCAGATGCACAGAGAATAAATAAACAATCTGAAGCACTTAAAGCTCTTGAAAAAGCACACTGTGAGACTAAAGGAAAAAACTCGAGCGTTTTATTTGCGCTTAGTTTAGAAAATGCCGAGCAGAGGAAATTAGAGAATGCTCTTCATTACGCAAAGGAGATGTTGAGAGTGGAAGGAGGTTCTGATGTGAAGGGGTGGATTCTTGTCGCTCGTATTTTGTCGGCTCAAAAGAGGTATTTTGATGCCGAAAATATAATCGACACGGCTTTGGATGAGGCTGGAAAATGGGACCAAGGCGAGTTGCTTCGTACAAAGGGTAAATTACAGATTGCGCAAGGGCGTTTAGGGGATGCAGTTGAGACTTACACGAAACTTCTTGCTGTCCTTCAGGTGCAAAGAAAGAGCTTTGGGACCCACAGAAGGATATTGAAAGTAAGGACTGCATTATTATTATGACGATGATGCTTTGGAGTTTTGTTTGAACCATTTCAAGTAACAGCATTTTATTGGTTGTTTT